ATGGATTACAAAAAGAAAGGTATGGTCATCATGCACATGCATACACGTGCGTGTACGTGCGCTGCAATCTGATTGGCTGTAACTTTTAACAGGTATAACGCCCTTGGTTTTCAACCATATGGGGTGGGATTTAGAACAAAGATAGATGTAATGGACTTCTACAAGAAGGTATGGTCACCGTGCTCATGTATGCACGTGCGTGCACGTGAAATGAACAAAATCAAAAATACACTTGAATGAGCGTATTTTTTATTACTTTTGGATTAAATACTTTAATTTTTAGTATATTAAAATATATGGATTGTGTAGACGATATGATATGATCATCACGCACAGGCATTCGCATGTGCAAGCATGCAATGATAAAACTTGAATAAACTTCCGGGTAAATGTTGTTAAAGTCTCAAATACATAGAGTTTGTCTTATTTAATGAAGCTTACAGGTAATATGGCACAAAAAGAGAGTTGGGGAGCGTTTGGGGAACATCTGTAACGGTCCCCGTTACAATTAGCACTAGTTTTATATCAAAATGTTCATAATTTTTTGACATTTAAACTTGGCAGATTCTTGAAGAAATAATAGACATTCTCTTATCAGATTGTCAATGAATTAATACTAGTATATATCACAAGATGCACTTTTCCATTACATGACTGTATATAGATTCAATCGATGAATGACATTGTACAGAGTGTGGATACATATTGAAATACTAATTACACCAAGGAGAAGGGAAAAAAAACAGACAGATAGGTAAATAAAGGTATTTCATGCATCGTATTCCACTTCAACATAAAGAATAGCTGTGCAGCAAACAGTGAAGTCTAACTTTAATCAGGTAAATACCAATTAGTTCATTTTAAATAAAAAGGTGATATTTGTAATTTATTCATGACTTACAATCTAGATTTTTAATCTCTTATCAGAAATATGTACACATATTTTTGCAAAATCTTGGTTAATGCTGATTTTTCTCTTGTAGATCCAAAAATTCCAGTCATGGACCCATATACTCAGGCCCAGAAGTTGAAAGTTTGTGACCTGTGTAAGACTGAATTGGTACAAGTTTACTGTGATACTTGTTATGTCAAACTGTGCAATGCCTGTATTGGGGAACACATGGCATCTGACAAATTAAAGTACTACAAACATGAGATTTTATTAACAAAATTAACAAAATTAACCTTGTAAATATAGACTCTCAGGACATTTCAGAACAGTTTGGTATTAAACTGAATGTTAAGAGAAATACAGAAAACTTCCACAAAATTTTGAGCTGTCATTTCCAAAATTTATTCCAGGGAAAATCCAAGGAGATGAACTTTGTAGCCATTTTGGGACCAATATCACCAACTAAACTAGCTTTAGAAGCATGCGGTTACAGTTCTCCTCCAGATAATCAGCTGCTTTACAACCCAGAGATCATCACTAAAATAAACACCAAATTGCAGTACAAATTCAATCTTTATAATGTGGCCTGTCTGAATGATGATGAAATCTTGTCAAGTGGAATGGAGAAAACAAGGAATCTCTACAATGTTATTTGGGGATCACTTTTTAAAACCATCCCAACCATCAGGAAACATTCCCTTTGACACTGCAGTAACCAAACAAGGCTATATTGTTTATACCGATCCTACCCCTACCGAGCAAACTGTGAACATTGTGAAGAATGAAAACATTGAGACTTTGATTAAATTAAAGAAATGGAGACCTTTTAATATCTGCTCTACCTCCTCAGGTGACCTCCTGGTTGTTATGCAGATCAGTGATGATTTTCAACAATCAAATATTGTGGGATGTTACTCTGGTACCACAAAGAAACAAACCATATGCATTCTGTTTTATGATAGGGGTCATGGTTTTCATTCATCTGATAACACCACTAAATGTTTCACTGAAAACAAGAACCTGGATATCTGTGTGGCTGACAGTGGAAGTAATGAAGTACTGGTGGTCAATCAGGCTGGGACACTGAGATTCAGGTACTTACCTACTCCAAAGAACCAACCATTCTATCCAGCAGGAATCACCACAGACAGTTAGTATCACATCCTTGTTGCTGATACATGTATAAACAATGAATGTGTCCACATCATAGACCAGGATGGACGGTTTCTCTGTTACATAAAATGTGGACTAAGTCCTATGGGATTATGTGTAGACACAAATGTTAATTTGTTTGTTGCTCAAAGTGCAAATAAACAAGTCATGAAAATCAAGTATATGCAGAGAAGTTGAACACAAAGCTGAATTGGAGTACGGCTTTGTACATTATGTCATGTAAATTATATAAAGAATGATCTGATGGGCATATGCATGCCACCTTGGACTTGAGACATTGGTCTGGATATTTAAACCTGTATCATGTATGGAGGTACAGAATCGTCATAATAGAAAAGAAAACCTTTCGTAAGTTGTCATAGCCATGTTGTACCAGTGTTATGGGCACTTATATGTGTAAGCCGGATGTAGCATAATATTTTGATACCACGATATATTGAGCCCGAGTTCAATATATCACATAATATTTTGAACCCGGGTTCACTTTTTTGCTGTGATATATTGAACCCCCTTATAAATTATTGAACCCCTACCTTTTTCATTGAAGAGGGAGGGGGTTCAAAATATTATGGCCATAATATATTGAGTCCCTTTGCCAATTTACTTTTAAAGGGAGGGGGTTCAAAATATTATGGCCATAAAATATTGAGTCCCCTGCCCTTTTATTTTACAGGGAGGGGGGTTCCCATGCCCCCATGCCCTATTAATTTATCAAGAAGGGGGTTCAAAATATTATGGCCATAAAATATTGAGTCCCCATGTTCCATTAAGTTAAGTGGTAGGGGGGTCAAAATATTATGGCCATAAAATATTGTACCCCCTGTCCTTTTCAGTTAAGAGGTAGGGGGTTCAAAATATTATGGCCATAAAATATCGAGTCCCCCCACCTTTTTTAATTTAAGAGGGAGGGGGGTTCAAAATATTATGGCCATAAAATATTGAGTCTCCTGCCCATTAAATGTATGAGGGAGGGGGTTCAAAATATTATGGCTATAAAATATTGAACCCAACTGTCCATTTAAGTTAAGAGGAAGGGGGTTCAAAATATTATGGCCATAAAATATTGAGTCCCCCTACCCTTTTAATTTAATAGGGATGGGTTCAAAATATTATGGCCATAAAATATTGAGTCTCCTGCCCATTAAATGTATGAGGGAGGGGGTTCAAAATATTATGGCCATAAAATATTGAGTCTCCTGCCCATTAAATGTATGAGGGAGGGGGTTCAAAATATTATGGCCATAAAATATTGAGTCCCCCTGCCCTTTTATTTTACAGGGGGGGGGGGGGGGGTCAAAATATTATGGCCATAAGATAATATTGAACCCCTCTGTCCTTTTCAGTTAAGAGGGAGGGGGTTCAAAATATTACGGCCATAAAATATTGAACCCCCTTGTCATTTTAAGTTAAGAGGGAGGAGGTTCAAAATATTTTGGCCATAAAATATCAAGTCCCCCTGTTCTTTTACTTTAACACTAAGGGGGGTTCAAAATATTATGGCCATAAAATATCGAGTCCCCCTACCCTTTTAATTCATGAAGGACGGGGGTTCAAAATATTATGACCATAAAATGTTGAGTCCCCCTGCCCTTTTATTTTACCGGGGGAGGGGGGGGGGTCAAAATATTATGGCCATAAGATAATATTGAACCCCTCTGTCCTTTTCAGTTAAGAGGGAGGGGGGTTCAAAATATTATGGCCATAAAATATTGAACCCCCTTGTCATTTTAAGTTAAGAGGGAGGAGGTTCAAAATATTTTGGCCATAAAATATCAAGTCCCCCTGTTCTTTTACTTTAACACTAAGGGGGGTTCAATATATTATGGCCATAAAATATCGAGTCCCCCTACCCTTTTAATTCATGGAGGAGGGGGGTTCAAAATATTATGGCCATAAAATGTTGAGTCCCCCTGCCCTTTTATTTTACAGGGGGAGGAGGGGGGGGTTCAAAATATTATGGCCATAAGATAATATTGAACCCCTCTGTCCTTTTCAGTTAAGAGGGAGGGGGGTTCAGAATATTATGGCCATAAAACATTGAACCCCCTTGTCATTTTAAGTTAAGAGGGAGGAGGTTCAAAATATTTATTTTATGGCTATAATATTTTGAACCCCCCTCCTTTATGAATTTAAAGGGTAGGGGGACTCCATATTTTATGGCCATAATATTTTTAACCCTGTGTTCAATATTTTATACGGGGGTTTGATATTTCGCAGCGATATTTTGAACCCAGGTTCAAAATATCGCGGGGTTCAATATATTATCGGGAGTTCAGGGTAGGGTGGTTGACGTTTCCTTCAAGGACAACTTATATGAGGGTTGTCCAAATTGTTTGTGGACAATGATGTTTTTGTGAAAATAAATGGTTTTATTTATATTCTATTTATATCTTTTGTTTATCAAAATATTTCTTATAAAAGACTTTGTCATATTTTTGTAAAAATCGGGGTCTTTATAGGTTGCGAATAGTGCACACAGACCAAGGTTAAAATGCCATAAACTTTGAAATAAAGTTTTTGTATGGCATGCCAAATTCACAAAAATGAGCTAAACATAATTTCGCAGTCAATTAACTAGGTTTATAAATTGTAAACTATAGTTTACGGACTTTAAACCATAGTTAATGTGATAATCTTTGTTTCAGAACCGTAAACTATACTTAACACTGAAAACAATCAATTGCAATTGCAAAACATAGATTATCTGATAAATACAGTTTCACAATTTGTAAACTATGGTTTACAACTCTTAACTATAGTTAACTATAGTTAACGATCTGATAAATATAGTTTCACAGTTAAATTTTAAAATTTTAAACAAGAGATGTTTGTAAAACACTTATGCCCCCCTCCCCCACAAACTGGAATTTTTCTAAGTCCAAAAGGGCATAACTCTGTCAAAAATGGTGCAATCATACCCAAAACAGAACTTGACCTAGATATTCATCTGACTAATCTGTATACTAAATTCCAATTCAATATGTGCAACCTCTCCAAAGAAAATGAACAGAAACTGCAAATAGTTGGAATTTTTACTCAGGTGACCTATTGCTATCCATTTTCGTCCGTCGTGGTGCGTCGTTCGTCGTGCGTTAACATTTGAACATTTTCAGCTTCTTCTCTGAAACCACTGAACCAATTTCAACCAATTTTGGCATATAGCATCTATGAGTGAAGATGAACAAAAATTATGAATTTCATGGTCCCTGCCCCCCTGGGGCCTGGGGGGTGGGGCCAAAACCACTAAAATTAGTGCAATCTTTGAAAATCTTCTTCTTTACTCCTGGACATCAAGCAGTCAAACTGTTTGCATGATTGTAATCAGCATTGAGTCCTCTACCAAAATTGTAAAATTCATGGCCCCAGGGTCAGGGGTTCTAGTGCTAGGGCGGGGCTATATAGATTATATAGTAAAAATGCATTATTTCTTTGAAAATCTTCTTCTCTGCTCCTGGGTGTTAAATAAACCAACTAAGTACATAGTTATGATGAGCAAGAGTGCCTCTTCCAGATTTGTGAATTTTATGGCCCCAGGGTCAGGGGTTCTGGTGTTAGGGTGGGGCTCTATAATGATTATATAGTGAAAATACATTTATTCTATGAAAATCTTCTTCTCTGCTTCTGGGTATCAAATAAACTGACTAAGTATATAGTTATGACAAGCAAGAGTGCCTATTCTAAAATTGTGAATTTCATGGCCCCAGGATCAGGGGTTCTAGTGCTAGGGCGTGGCTATATAGATTATATAGTGAGAATGCATTATTTCTGTAAAAATCTTCTTCTCTGCTCCTGGGTATTAAATAAACTAACTAAGTACATAGTTATGATAAGCAAGAGTGCCTCTTTTAAAATTGTGAATTTTATGGCCCCAGGGTCAGGGGCTCTGGTGTTAGGGTGGGGCTCTAAAATGATTATATAGTGAAAATACAATAATTCTTTGAAAATCTTCTTCTCTGCTTCTGGGTATCAAATAAACTGACTAAGTATATAGTTTTGATGAGCAAGAGTGCCTCTTCTAAAACTGTGAATTTCATGGCCCCAGGGTCAGGGGTTCTGGTGTTAAGGCATGGCTCATTGATTATATAGTGAAAATGCATTATTTCTTTGAAAATCTTCTTCTCTGCTTCTGTGTGTTAATTAGAATAATCAAGTACATAGCTATGATGAGTAAGAGTGCATCTTTTAAAACTGTGAATTTTATGGCCCCAGGGTCAGGGGTTCTTGTGTTAGGGCGGGGCTCTATTGATTATATAGTAAAAATGCATTAATACTTTGAAAATCTTCTTTGCTTCTGGGTATTAATTAAAATAACTAAAGTACATACTTATGATAAATAGGAGTGCGTCTTTTAAAATTGTGAATTTCATGGCCCCAGGGTCAGGGGTCCTGGTGTTAGGGTGGGGCTCTATAATGATTATATAGTGAAAATACATTAATTTTTTGAAAATCTTCTTCTCTGCTCCTGGGTTATAAGCAGATGAACTACTTACATAGTTATGATGTGCAAGGGTTTTTCTTCTTGAATTGTCAACTTACAGGCTCCTGGGTCAGGGATACCAGGGAGGGGGGGGGATAGGGCTCTTCTTAATACTGAAAATGAATTGTTTGAAATCTGCTCCTTGGTATTAATCAAACATTTTTGATAAGCAAGTGTGCCTTTTCAAAAATTGTGCAATGTGTTGACCTGAGGTCAGGGGTTCATGTTTGGTTTTTGTTCCCCTATCCAGTCCATGGGTATTAAGGAGGCTTGGGGTCAACAAATTAACAACAAATTAACCACCAGATATAACTTAAATGATATGATATCTTTAGCTGTCAACTATCATTTGACAAAGAAAAATTTCATACATATTAGTTTTAAAATTTGATTATTTTTGTTTATCTTTATATGGAGCTCTTCTTTTAAAGGAGATAGAAATAGTCTAAAAATGGCCATGACCACCCAGCCCCTTTAAGTAACCAAACTAAGCAATTGCAAAGTT